CGAAAGACGACCTACAATTCAATCTCTCACCGCAACATTATTCCAGATGTGAGTAGACATTTTTACATGTATTTAATTTGTAATTTTTCTTTATCTGACTTGCTGGAACAGCTATTTGGTTATGTAGGCTTCAAGAGAAGGCATTGTCAATTGCTCCAAAGGGGTTTAAGGCTTATCTGTAGGATATCATTTTCTATAGCAAGTGAATGAGACTTGACTACTCAGGATTTTTAAACGACAACTTATCGACCAAATATAGAAGAAAAGTCGTGATATTATCATAGGCAACTGCTAAGTTGCATTTTACTCAGTAAATCAGCAGACTGTTGAAAGATCCTCCCGGCTCGTGGATCCCCTTCCTCGGTTAGTGGACATAGTGATTAAAGTGATCATAAAGTTATTTCCCAGATGGGACAATTGCAGGAACTCTAAATTCCTAATAAAACACACTTAAATCAAGCTCAATCAATTCAACAAATTTTTTTATCCAAAAGTTACAAACATTATTTATTTTTTTTTAAAAAAGCAAAATGAGACTCCTGGAGTGTAAATCACTCCGTCGCTGAGTCGGCATCTTGTCACCTTGTCCGCCGGTTACGATGCGGTGCTGTGACAGGACATCTTGACAGCGGTGTACTCACAAGAGCAATGATGCCACAAACTCTCCTTCCATTAACGTTATCGCGCTGGCAGTCTGTCAAGACGGCGTCTCCTCGCGTCCTCTCCATCTCAAACTTTCCCGGTTTTTTTTGTTATTTTTTCTGCCCTAATTTGTTTTTTACTTATAATTACTCTTCTAATGTGTTAGCGTTTCCTCAAAGCCATATTTACTCTACCCAAACAACCTATTTAATTGTGCGAATACCCTTTTAGATTGGCTTTTTCCCCCTTACCGGTGATCCCACTCCAATGCTCAGCACTGCGGCCAATCAGAACCGCTAATCTCGATCCTTACGGACTCTAACTGCCATGAAGGTCATTAAAACACCCCCTTTGGAGTTGGGATTATCCTCACAGCAGAAGGTGTTAGCAACCTTACTGAACTTCACAGGTGTACAACCCTCTTTTATAAGTAGTATAATTCACTGGGGGAAATTTTTTGGGCAATTGATTGCATTTGCAAATGCAAATCAAGTCAGAACATGTAGATGGCGATCCAGGAGCTCTTCTGTCGACATTTTCTAGCACTGCTTTGCTAAAGTGTAACTAACACCACCAGTTTGCTTGAATTTTCACTTTTTTGTTTTCTCTGAACAAGATCACCCAAGACATCCCAACAGGTGACAAACTTCAAGTTGGTGGATCATATACCGTCTATTTTCTTAACCGAATGGAATACTGATGGATTACTATTTACCTTGATGACTAAATTTTAACTTCTCTCGCGAAATACAGTCGACTTTATTATTGTAGATTGAAACCATCTAACAAGCTAGCCAACTAACTAACTAAAGAGGTAGATAGGGAGGGTCATCATTTACTTGCCTGTTTTAATTAGATTAATCCCTCTACACCCCTTTTCCCTGCCTAGGCTACAACAAAGGAGTTGCCTGTCACACCGACGGTGGCAGATATGTGCACTCATTCCTTTCTTACTTTCGGCTTGCCCTGCAAGGCGACAAGGAATTTGCTAGCGGCAAGATCAAAGACGGTCTCTCACCGGGGCGACGTGGGCATGCGGTGAGCAAAAAGGTGAAGAAAAGGAGGATCATGATTATGGCGGTAGTGCAATTTGCCTGATTTATGGTTTGATGTCGGTGGCCGAAAAGCATCTCCTTATTCAATTGCTCTGTTCACTTTTCTAGACACTTGAATGACTTCTATCCATTCTTGCATTGATCCGGTTGTTTGTCTCTGTGGTATCTACCTCCGCTCCGCTCTGCGGCGTGGCCTTTGAACCGTGCTAGTAGCCTTACAGCCCTCCTGTACGCTCGTAATTGGCATGCAGAAATATACGACTTTGGCGAAAACTTGGGTTGCTACATCACACTCCACGGCAGTTTCGGATCAGAGACCTTGGAAAAGACCACAACCCACTCCATGAAGTTCGGGGGTGAATCAGCTAATTTAGTCCCTTCCCATGATGGCAAAAACATGTCAATCAGTTCATACCTTCCTAGCAGAAAATTTTACAAACGGAATTTTTTTCTTGGAAAAAGTGGGTTTTCTGCTAATGGATATTATTGCGAACTTTATGTTAATTCACCAAAGAATGACATATTCGGTGGTTGTCCGGTGCAATGACACTTTGTTTTGCATGCAAAGTGTCTTCGGCGGTAGGAACAGCAACCGAGGCAATTTCATTTAGCTTATATGTGCCGCAGTAAATGACATCTACGCCTCTAGACCGCTCTGTCAACCTCCAGAAGACATTGTTTGCATTCACTTGGTGTCTCCTCGTCGTTGGTCCCATAAGGCGCCTTTGGTAAAACGGCTTCGCAATTCTGTAAAACCCAACAATTTCTCAAAAACCTAGGTAGTTTTAAAGTGTTGTTCCTTCAAAATATGTATTTTATTGATTTGATCTTCCGCTTTTCGAAATGTGCGGTTAAAGTTTGCGGAGACCTTTGAAAGGAGCATTTCGTCGCAAGGAAAAATGTGTTATGATTCGGCGATTTTTTCAACTACGTGACCATCCACGCGGATGCTCGCTGTCCGCAGAATATGTTGTACCTCTACTTCCCCTCGAGACATACTAATAGCCTTCCAGTCATTTCGAATGCTTGTAAGTAGCATGTTGTTCTCCAGCAGCACTTTAGCTTAGCTCGGCTCCAGGATGGGAATACTTTTTGAGCAGCATTTGTAGGTTCCATCATTTTTCTTGACGAAAAGTCTTTATGAGTAGTTGCAAGCCTAGAACTCGTTCTTAGACCAAAAATTAAAAGTTCTCTTTGACTCCACTTAGCATTGACTAGTGGGGGAAACTGTTCCAGATTGAGCACTTTTATGGCAAATAATGCTGTAAACTTTAAATGTCTAATTGGAAGGATCCTCGGCCTGACTCAAAATAAATCCTTTACAGCATGAAAAAAAAATGAAATGTTTTCTAATAAGACCCTATCCTCCTGCTTTCGAATGTTCAACTTTGACGAAGGGGAATGCGGCCCCCAAGAAAAAAGGGAACTTTGTTATTTTTAAATTCTTTTTAAAAAATAGTTAGTTACTTCTTATGAAATGGTTTTTGCACTTTTTACCTTATTTAACAATTGTGGGATTTGCACAAAGTGATTGCAAAAAATTGAAGGAGAACTCATAGACTCCGTAAAGTACTTGATGTTGCGGGCTCTAATAACAATCTAAGGTAAATGAGAATGCTCTGTCTTTCAAGTTTTAGCCTTCCATCTCTAGAAAAGCACTTAGTTTAGGCATTTCCCATTGTAGGTGTGTTAAGTTGTTTAACCTGAACCGACTGTACAACAGATTCTGTCATTTAGCTTGCTCAGGCGTGCCCATCGGCATGACCCGGTGCCATGGCTTCATGGAATTTCTAGGGCTGTGTACACTGTACCCCAGCGTTTGTGTATACGTACACATTATAAGTGAAAGACAGAAGGCATCAGCATATTGAAACGGTACGGTTCCGGATTCTCGGCGCGAGTTTTACCGAGGGGTGGTGGAACAAGCCCTCAACAAGACGTCCTCACTTAGACAAGCATGATTTGACCAAAACAAGGGAAATAAGTAGTCTGAGGTTTCTTTGTCACATGCGCTTTTTATGCTGCTCCACAGCGAATGATCGGGTGATCAAGAAGAATGCTGTTGATTTCGAGATGGCTGATCGCAATGCATATATCATAGGCAATGGATGGAATGTGCCAGTCTCTCGTTTCGTGACATGACAGGGTACTCCTCATTATCCTCTCTATCCCTCTCATCCTACTTTCGCCCATATTTCCTTGATTCTTATTTTAACCTGACGTATGTGGGTATGAGCTGATCACCTTATAAACTGACTCGAGGGTGGGTGTATGGGAACAAAGCTGCTTCACCACTGTAGCAATCTTCTTCCTATCCCTCCTCCTTTTTCACTTCGTTGAAGGTGGTCAGGAATGGTCCATGGGTGATATGAAAGTCCGAAACACATTTTCTAAAAGACAAGATCAGACAGGGTAGAGTCTGATACCTTACTTTACCAAACTGAGTCATGAGAGAACGCCATACGGATCTTTAAGATTGGGGAGAGGTGGAAAGGTGGGTAATGCCTCAACCTCAACTTTTCCCTCCCCGTCAGCATATCCTTTGTGTTCCCCTAATGACATTCCTCCAAGTGGCGACTGTCTCCCTCTCCTTAGAATTGGCATTAGACAACTTCGTAACCATGTTCAATGTGGAATGGACAGTTGGATATCGGACAATAGAAACAATAGTTTCGAGGGTTTATTATTGCCTCACCTCCCAAAAAGTGAGATTCACTGCAATTCCAACGAATGAAATATGCTATGAATTTCTGATGTTATGGGTTGTTTTTATAAAAAAAGCAAAAAACGATTTTGTTACCTGAAGCTCCTAACACAGCTGCTTTATTCCATTATAGTATTACTATTTAAAGGAACTAATTACTGATTGAATCGTCCCACCTCTGATGGTGGCATCCACCGCCACTTAATCTACAGCTATAAAGTTACATGCGTTGTAGAAATAGGCAGGAGTTGAAGAATTTCCTCTAAGACCAAGGCAGCTTTATATGGACGCAGGTTAAAACTGTTTGTATCCTTCAATTAGTACAGCAAATCCACTAAACTCAGAGATTTCTCCGACGGTTAGAGTGTCTCCACGAATCAATCTTACCAAACTTGAAATTGCTTCTGGAAAACAATTTTCTCTCACAGTAAACTATGAAATCGTATTATTCGAAAAGGCATCATCGCGGATGTGTGGGTCCCTCCCAACCCTCTTTCGCACAAACACACACTCTACCTTCAATTGCAGAAAAAGTAGGCGGAGAAATGGACGAGTTTACCTGTGTTAGCTTCTTCCCACAAGTCGCAATTTCATGCTAATAAATAACCTTTAAAATCCGCTTTCACTTTCGGCACCCTGACAGGCTATCAAATGCACCCGGGTATGGGAAAATAGGACGCGGCACAACCCTGAATCGCCCACTCCGTCCAAAGTCTCCTCCACAGATGCGTGTATCACACACACACACTTATAAGTGGACCATCTGACCGATGATTCCTGACCGAAATCCTCTCCTCCTCTAACCCTGCCTCCTAATTAAAGATTTCTTTGTCATTCAGGTATTGTTTTGGTGCCCGTTACCTGTCAATTACTCAGGTAAAAATTGGGGAATGAGGAGATTTTACTAAAGAAAAAGTCATCTTCAGAACTTTTCAGCATCACCATCTGATTAAACAACTGCCACGGAGATTGAAAAGCGCTTGCGTAGCTTTAAGGTTCGTAGAGGATACAGGCGATGTTAGAATGTAACGAAAGAGACTGCCGCTGCCATAAAGAAGTGGAATAGTCTAATACGTAGATGCGGTTTTCACAGTAGGAAGTAAATAACTCCAGAAAATACCCACCGGTATAGCCCACATGTAACAGAACGTAGGCTTTTAAATTCGACTATCCATTTACAGTAATGCATAAATATCTAATCGTTGGATGTTAATATTAAGAAAAGACGGAGAAAATAATCGCGGGTATACGAGAGATGAGGTGCGGGATAGGGCTATATTGCCCTCCCTATCCCTCTCCAGTCCTAAACTGTTGCTTGAGGTGCTCTCAGGAGTCGGGCTCTATGAGGTCCTCCCATGTCGTCTTGACTTGCCTTGCCTGATCTTGTCTTCAAAACTACCACGTGGACTTTTCCACCCATCAGTCAGCTGCGTTCAAAGCATTGGGTAATCGAATACCTTCTTGTAGTTGTAATGGAAATTAACCGATAATTTTAGAATGTTTATTGTGTACAATGCTATTACTGTAAATCTCACCCCCTTTGGATGATATGCAACACAGTTGACGAGAAGCTTCCACAGCTCTGCAACCCCCTTCAACTCACTGCAATCAGCGGCTAAGCTGCATCCCCAATTGTCGGGTTGGGGAAAGGACAATGCGTAGTGCCGTAGTGTCGTACTGAACAGTAACAAAGCAGTGGACTGGCACATTTTACCTATGGTTTATAACACATGTATGTAAACAATCGCTCCTCTCGCATTCTTACGCTATACCCCAGTCCTCGTATCCAGCCACCTTGAAAACCGCAGCATCCTTCTTCACCATCTGACCCTGTTCTGTGGAGACCCATTAAAATGCATGTTGCAAAGAAACCTTCGACAACTTGGCTCTTCTTCCTTCAGGCGAATCTTACTCGTTCAAGCCTCGCTCCACCAGTTTAGAGTAGAATCCACACCGAGGATGCGGTGCCCACGAGGTCAGATCTTCGATGTGTGTAAGGACAGGCAATGGCGTGCCAAAACCCCTGACGATACCACTTCCCTTTTGCTATGCAACTTTTAACTGCTGACGTTTTATTTCTCGTTTAAGGCGGTCAACATGACGAGAGTACATCGACCTGTTTATTCTGTTCACTTTTGTATATTTTTTTCAGTTTTCATCCTGGAAGGTGTGAGCTTCCCCACAGCATATTATGAAGTCGACTTAACTAGAATCGTTGGGCAAGAAGATTCATATAACATTCACTAACCGTGACACAAAAATTCTCCTTACTATTTCATATTTTTTAGACGCACTCGCGAGACTACTTGTATTGGCGGGTGAACAGGACCCCCCCACTCCAGTTTAATAGAATCCCCTTCCCCAGGAGCGATTTCAATCATTCCTTCCATAAACATCCAGCAACTCCTTCACGCCAAAGGCAATTTTAACATTTACGATAAGTCTTCCTAACACCTATAATGTGCTCGAATCCGTAATTCGCTATCGGCCAGGTCACAAGGTTATCCATACTCTGTTGGGAAGAGAACTGTAGCGATCTCAATGTCACTGATCCCTCTTGACAATTCTACTGGATCGCTGTATTACCCGCGTTCAACGCTAGTTGCAGGAGCACTGACTCAAAAGCAGAGCTATAACAAAGTATGGGGTTTGACTGTTCCCTGGGGGTAGGGTTTCAAGTCTATTTCTCCTAGCCATTTTTTTTCTCACTTTAATGCTATCCAACTATTTGAGAGATGGCGGGGGTACTGAGTTTTCACATAATTGAGACCTTCATACGGATACGGTCGACACTTCCGTAACGAGCCTTTCCAGGTGGTTTGCGATTAGTGTCGCATCCGTCATTCCTGCAGGTCACGGGATTGAAGTAGTTGCCGAAGGTAGACGTCATTTTCAAACCTTCTGCTTGGGATCGCCAAGATTTATCACTTAGCAGTAGTAATCAGGAGAGTTGTCCTTCAAGAATGAATTTGCTTTCTGTTGCCACCGATATAACGTCCCTAGGCTCCTGAAAACGAAAGTAGACCATGCTTGGAAAGAATATGTATTGTCGAAGCACACCAGAACTTGGACCTACTCCCATGTCCGCCTGACAATAGTGCAATGGCGGAGACACTAAATGGGCTGTTACTAGAACCGAGAGTTAAACAAACAAATAATGTAATAAGGCATTTTTAAAATTCCTGTAGTCATTTTATCTGTGGAGCCTAAATCCTCAAGTGAATTCAACCAGATCAACGCTTTATGGTTTTTCTCTCACCACAACAAATTTCCTTCTCATTTTGCAACATTCTTAATGAACTTTTGTTTCCTTTTTTTTTTAGAAAGAAACACATTCTTTTCCCCTGTCTAGAGTCGGCGTTGACAGGACGTCGGCGCGCGGATTGGCATTACGTAAGCGACGACGGAATGATAGCCCATCGCACGCTCACCCACTCCTTCGTCCACACATCCAAGAAGGAGGGGGGAGTGGGAGAGAGTCTGAGTGATTGACAGGTTGAGCGGACAAGCAAGAGAGTGGGGTGAAGATCAAATCAGTGTGTATTTACCCTGACGAGCGTGCGGTGGTGTGTGGATGTGTGTGTGCGGAGGTTTGGATGTGCGTGCGTAGGTAGGTTCGCGTGTACAGCACTCCCTACTGCGTGCTGATGCTTTGACCAGTGAAAGAAAGCGTGCCTTCTCCTCCTCCTCCTCCACCTCTCTCCCGCTTAGCCTCTATAAATACCCACGAGGTTGACAAGCAGCTCCATGACCGCTTCCTATTGAGGCGAACAGGGTACCATGAGATAACCTACTCACGTCTACTTCACAACTTCCCAGTATTCATCTCGCCCAACTAGAAGTGTATCCTGGACTTTTGGAATATACCTTAACGTAAGTCACTTCCTTCTCATTGTTTTGCTTCATGCATGCTCACATTCCAATTTTGTGGAGTCAATGGCCGTTCCCCTTATTTTTAGGGGAAATAAAGAAATAACGAGAGCAACCATGCTTACAGAATAAATGATCTCATAATCCTAATTCCCTTTCTTTGGAAATTTTTTTCTTTTTGGTGTAAATAAAGACTCACTTGTGGTAGCCCTTGGCTTAGGATTGGACACAATTGGCCAGAGAAGTCAGGTGTCGGGTTTTAGTATCTCTGAAAAAAAATGAAGTCTTTTCCAGCCTTTGTAGGCGGGGTGTCAGTAGTGGCGGAGAGTGATTTATTTTGAAACTTTTTCGCCTTTCTTTTGAATTAATCGCTAGTAAAGTCCCTTATAAGTGGTTCAGACGAATGTAGATTAGAGTCACCCTTCATGTTAACCTTTAGGCCGCCTACAATTACCACCTTTTCCTAGCGAAGAAAGAAAAACGAAAAGTAGTGAGAGAGTAATCTTTTATCCAAATTAAGGGGAGCATAAACCCCTTCTCTTTTTTTACTTCTGTGAATTTGTAAAATCCATGTCCACTTTTGGTACACAGGAAGCAGTTTTGCCGATCCGTCGGTTCTACAGGTAGCTTGGACTAAGGCGATACCACATTACACAGGAATACTTGTGCCTGACCTTAAATGAACCTAGATGAATACAAGGAACCTCCAAGTTTATCTTTTTTTAACGAAAACCCTACCATCAACGTGCTGGATTAATTTGACCGCTGTTTTTGGCTGTCTAGGTCAATAAATTTTACACTGCGTGTTTGAAAGAAAAGGTCAACCACTTTCTCCCACTTGAGAGGTCTTCGAATTAAATTGCTGGTTTACAGCGATAAATTGGCGTCTGTGCCTCATGATAAGGTCTCAACGAAAACAGGTAGTAACCATGACTTATTTGCAGGTCAAGGTCAACATCATCAACAATTGCCCCAGAGATGTAATTATAGATTATCACTATGTAGGGATCATAAGTTGTTACCCGCATCTGTCGCGGATGCCAACAGAATGGGGAGGCGTCTGCGTGCCTTTTGGTGTGGAGTCTATTCGCTGTTTCTTCACAGCATTCGCTGAGAGTAAATTTTGGAGGCAGACAGAAAGGAAAAAATGGGCGTACAATTTATCAGAGAGGCGTATGAATTACTACGGTGCATCGCTTTGATGTGAACTAGGAGGCCGTATTTTTAAC